AAATGAGTGATGCATACACATAACGAGTAACATTGACAATATTGCTATTTAGTGTAGCTGATCCAGGCTGAATTATGTGGCATATTGAACAAGTGTGAGTATGTATGGTTTTACGCCGCTTCTAGCAATATTCCAGAGATATCACGGGGACACCAGAAATGGGCTTCACATATAGTTCCAATGTGGGGAATTGAACCCGGGTCTTTGGCGCAACGAGCAGATGCTTTAACTACTAGGCTACCCCATCGCCCCGAACAAGCCAGAGGACAATGCATATGCTAGATAGATGACATATACAACAACAATATTGACTGTCATAGCTTTTGACTGAATTATGTGGCATACTGAACAAGCCAGACGGTGCTGAATTCAGTTAACAATTGACATATATAACAAAAAAATAAATGTCATAGCTTCAGGCTGAATTATGTGGCATACTGAACAAGCCAGACGGTGCTGAATTCAGTTAACAATTGACATATATAACAAAAAAATAAATGTCATAGCTTCAGGCTGAATTATGTGGCATACTGAACAAGCCAGACGGTGCTGAATTCAGTTAACAATTGACATATAAAACCAAAAAATAAATGTCATAGCTTCAGGCTGAAATATGTGGCATACTGAACAAGCCAGACGGTGCTGAATTCAGTTAACAATTGACATATATAACAAAAAAATATGTCATAGGTTCAGGCTGTATTCACATTTGTTTGTTGGCTGTTTAAGACCACCCTCAGCAACATTCAAACTATATTGTAACTGTCTGTAAGGCTGTACATTAAAATCCAGTGATTGGAACAATCAATTCATGCAGTTGAGCTTGATGGATCCCGACTACTTGATCATTTTAGTTGCTAAGCATGGGTTGATCAGAAGACTAATTCTAACCTGGATCTTTACTTTGGAGTGAGCATGGTTTTATGCCGCCATAATGAATAAATCTTACAGTATAATACTGTAACAGGACTAACACAAGTCCAGTAAGGGCCCTTAAAATTGTGGTTCTCTGAAACCTTAACGTAAGGACATTTGAAATTTGTGATAAGGATCCTCTGGAACCTTAGTTCTGCAGGTTAAGACAACTAGAAATTGGTGATAGGGCTTCTCTGGAACCTTAGTTCTGCAGGCTAAGACAACTAGAAATTGGTGATAGGGCTTCTTTGGAACCTTAGTTCTGCAGGCTAAGACAACTAGAAATTGGTGATAGGTGGCATCTTGAATCTTAGTTCTGCAGGTTAACATCCTTTGAAATTGGCGATAGGTGGCATCTTGAATCTTAGTTCTGCAGGTTAACATCCTTTGAAATTGGCGATAGGTGGCATCTTGAATCTTAGTTCTGCAGGTTAACATCCTTTGAAATTGGCGATAGGTGGCATCTTGAATCTTAGTTCTGCAGGTTAACATCCTTTGAAATTGGCGATAGGTGGAATCTTGAATCTTAGTTCTGCAGGTTAACATCCTTTGAAATTGGCGATAGGTGGAATCTTGAATCTTGGTTCTGCAGGTTAACATCCTTTGAAATTGGTGATAGGTGGCATCTTGAATCTTAGTTCTGCACATTTAGAATCCTTGATATTTGTGATACTGGTCCTCTGGAACCTTAGTTCTGCAGATTTAGATCCCTTGAAATTGGTGATAGGGATACTTTGGAATCTTAGCTATGCAAGTAAGAACATGTGAAAGGATTGATAGTTGGCATCTCAAAACTTAGTTCTGCACATTTAGAATCCTTGAAATTGGTGATAGGGATACTTTGCAATCTTAGTTGAGAAAGTGTCGGGTGCCAGGCAACGTATGACTTATTTTCTTACACAAATATCAGAGTTGCTAGCGCCACAACCTGCTTACCCTTTTCACAAATAGCTGGCATCATCAGTCACTTTCAGTGATCCATTCAAAAATTTCCGTGCTAGTTGGCTGACAGAATCTGTTTGGGTAGATAATCCATGCTTCATATGCTCAGGCCGTGTCATTATATACTTCTCTTCAATAAAAAAAGTAGTGATCGTGACTGACACTTGTTTCCACTCAAGAGCAAGTAATTGACTGCCATATGACTAATAGCATGATTCAGCTGTACCACAACATATGGGACACAAACAATGTGCTTCGCATGATATAATATGTCAAAGAGGGAAATAGAGACTAGTCTGCATGAGTGAAACTATGTAACCATTTGGCTCAACAAAACAAAATGAGCCAAACAATTTTTTTGTTGAATGACACAGTTTAGATCCAATATGACAAGTGAACAAAACCTGGCTTTTGAGCATGACCTGGTAAACTTATATTCTTGCTCAGTGTACAGGTAGAAAGTCATTTAAATATAATATTCATTCTGTGAAGACAGTTCAGATTTGTGCAATGTCGAAAATACAATAACATGTGAACAGAGTAACAAAGGTATTAATTATGAAAACCTTCAGTTTTAATCTAAACAAAATCAGAGCACTCAAACAAAAATCACTTAACAAATCCTTTTATCTGTTTAACCTTTTTGTCAAACAATTATAATTTTAAAACTCCTGAATAATTACTAGAGTAAATGTAAATAAAGAACCTACAAGAATCATTTTCAGCAAAGAAAGAAGCTATGTTCATAGTGGTAGGGAGCTTGCATTACTTTTTCTCTTTAAGTTGTGAGAAAAATTTAAACGGTAGAGTTGTTTGAGGTATATTTCAACATTTCATTCAAAACAAATTCAAATGACAATATCCAAGCCATTTATCTCACCTCATTCACATTAAATTGCTTTGGCACTGGCTTTCTAGTGGAGAAAATTGTATTTTGATAGTGAATGTTTCCTACTTCCTGCTAACATTTTATAGTCACAATACAGGCATCAAGTATCTTGCCTTTGTTGTTCTTCATTTCAAAAACACCAACATATCATTTCACAGTCATTAATCAAATTGTTTGTTGTAATAGTAACCAACAGATCAAGTTTTGTCAGGTGTTTCATATTATAACAAAGAAACCATGCTGAATACTGTTTAATTCACTGTAAGCTGTGATTACTCCATGAATTGTTACCTTGCTGCATTCAAGGTAACAAACACATAAGTATTCAAAGTCACAGTATTGTTTTCCCTTGAACACAATTTGAACAGCAAAGTATCAGGAATATGTAAATTTGCTGTTTGATAGTTTGCATTAATAATATAACCAGTTCATTCTGTATTGAGGCCTAGAGGTCATTGTACATGTATGCCAAATACCTTGTGCTTTAGAGTGAAATTTTTTCATTTGATACACAAGTTTACTGCTTAATAATTTGCAACAAATATTCAACCAATTCATTCTGTAGTAGAATAGCAAACGAATCATTCTACTTGTACATGGTAAACCAAATACTTTGTAACGTTACTGAACAAATGTTTGCTGAACAAATGAGTACTGTTTGACAAATTGCCAAAAATATTTATCAAAATCATTCTGCAGCATAATAGCAAACGAATCATTCTATATGTCCATAGTAGGCCAAATATATTGTTACTCTGTTGAACATAGTAGGCCAAATATATTGTTACTCTGTTGTACTTAGTAGGCCAAATATATTGTTACTCTGTTGAACAAGCGTTCGCTTATTATGCCAGTTTACAGTATGATAATTTGCAACAAAATATCAAAAGGTTTTTGAGAGGCATTTACAATATGGTATTCAAGTAAAAGGCAACTATTATGGATGGAAACTTCTTTATTGTATGTCACAATGTTTCAGGTCTATTCCCTGAAACTTCATCAGGGCAATTCACATCATCCATAATATTTGCCTTTGACTAATATATCAAAGATTCACTTTGCATTAGAAAGGCGTACAAACCATTGTGCACCATAGGCCATATACTACACAGTTCACGGGTTTGCTTTTTAGTGTTTTGTCTGATGGGACAGGATATATGCTCACCTTCCGTGCACACCTGGTAACATCACTATGTGACAGTGATTCATAAGCATAGGGTTATGACAGTCACAGTCATACAAAGGACTCTCACAGATCTATCTTTAGATGTTTTTTTTGAGCTTTTCATTTGCATTATTATCATGTATTCCTTAAGTACATTCATATGTACTCTGTAACATAAGATGAAGTGTTATTCTAAGTAAGTTTTATGTTGTCATGCAATACTAAGGCCATGTTTGTATAATGAATGGCCTTTGGTTGGGTTACTTCGTACAGCTTGTATAACTGATAAAGCTGACTCCTGCAAATGGGTCACTCACGGCTGTTGAAAGCATCACCAACCAGACTTGTTGAAAATTCATAAATTTAGAAATCTAAAAATAGAAGGGTTTGCTATGCACGCTATGACAGACAGTAATACATTGATCAGGATACTGTTACTTGTATCACTTTCAAATTAATTTGACAGCTGATACCAGATTGAAAAAAATAATAGGTCATTCTCTGGGGGGATATCAATATCATCTTCAAACTACTTAAACATATTACTTATACGCTCATCCTTAGATATATACATCAGTAAATATGTATTTTGATCATGAAAATGATCCAATCCGATATTCAATGATCAGTAATCATATCTGTAACAATATAACATTAAATGTTTAGTGGCAGCTTGCAATTTGCATGTATAAGATCAAATACTATTTGCAAGAGAAATTCTAGCTGTTGTCATGATAAAAAGAGGTATCACCTGTAGAGGGTTAACAACCTGTTCATTATGAGACAAATAGAATGGAAAATGGGGCTTTGTGTTACACAGTGTCACAATTAACATGAACATACAGGTCACTTTTGTGTACAGGGCATTTGTACTGTTTCCACTGTTATGAAAGACACTCCTTCATGTTCTATTCATGTAGTTTACATAAATAATCCAGAGGAACTTCCTCATGAAACAGCTCTAGCCTCATGAAATTTGTTGTATCAAACTGAACAAGATTCAGGAAGTGCATTGGCAATATCTACATGGGATCCGGAATACATACAAAATGTACCAATGTCATCAGTGAATGTCATTTAATTACTTACTTGTAATGTGCAGTGCCAGGTGGTTAGCTCAGATCTTTGTTATTTGCTGTAAACATCAAAATCATACCATCATATTTACATAATGAAACCACACTGCATTCAGAAACAGCCCGTAACACACAATTACAATGCTTGCATTAGGGAAATCAACAAAACATGTCCACTGCAAACACATCATCTGCCCAACAATGAACACAAATGAGGCACATCCATCACTGAATATGAAATGCTGTTAGCACAGTCATTGAAGTATACTTAATCTATTAGCAACATAAATATCATCGGTCACATCTTGCACTTATCTGACAGCTGACAGAGGGGCTAAATATTAAATTGATATGTAAATTAATTAATCATGTCAGTGTAAACGATCTGTTTTCAATATCAGCTATTTTCAATTTAAAATATATCTTGATAATACATACAACAGTGTAATGGTGGTATTTACATAACTGCACATTCATAAACAATGAATGATAATGACAGAGATAATTCAGAGTCATTATATACTTGTAGGTTACGTGATATGACAGCCATGAAATATACAAGTCAAGTACAAGGCTAATGAATTAAGTGCAATGAATGTCACTGTTACTTACGTTCCACACTGTCACCATTATCACTGCCTGAGGTGGAATAACAAAACATTATTTTACACGAGTCAAAAAATATTCGGTGAATCCATGAGATCATTACTTACAATTGTTTACTTTGTGCCCAGCGGGAACATTGGATGACCCAGTTAGATCGGATGATATCTGCAATTGACGATCTAAAGCTATGGACTTCCTTTCACTTCCGCCAATCACCCATGAGTGTGGTTTGTGCAGTGACAAACGGTGTTATTATCCTGTTTATGGTGGCCAGCTGATGACGATGAGCTGTATATCCCCTCAAGGTGAAATCCACACACAAGTCCTTTTACACTCGGACCAATTCTGTGTTCGCCTGAAATGAATGAGTTGAAATATGACACCGCTCATGCATGTCGATGTCTGCTGTGCATTGCATCAGATGAAGTGATATCACACCTACCACATGTGATATGTTCTCGTTCACACTGTGTCGTTTGTCAAACATGTAGTATTAAACATACTTTGTCATGGACAAGGGTGAATATCCATATTACATGCTCCTCCCACAAACATCATGTCCCAATGACTCGAACCTTTGTTAGACCTTTGTAAAGATATATTTAGCCTCACTATCTCTTATCAACTATTGTGTTATGTGCCTTCACAATAGCTCAGAGTGTTGGACATAAGATAAGCTTAATTCTATCACAGCCCTGGGTAGTACACACGTCGTCTAACCTGATTGGTCACATGGATTCTAGGCATGATTGACAGCCTAAAGCTTGTTTATTCCACCCGAGCTCCCTGCTACCCGAATTGACTATCACATATCAGCTAGCATGTTGCACTCTCCTGTGACTGAGCACGCATAATTCAACAAGGCTGGCAGCCTGCCAGGGCTATTGATTGCAGCCCCCAGTATATAAAGGCTGGTTGCAAGCTCAAATGGAAACCAGTGGTTCACTGCGAAACGTGTGGCAAACACATCCTTATGTATTGTAATGGCGTCAGCCGGGACAAGTTGTGAGTTGCTAGTATATTCTGTTGATTAAATATGTATCTTAAAAACTGTTTTGTCATTTATAATGATTTGCTATGCTTGCCTGATATTGTAGGCTGTTCATGGTTATTGTGTATACGTCTCAGTTGATAACATTTAAGCTATTGAGCGGGTCACTCAGGGCAGAGCAGCCATCTTGAAATTTTGAACTAGGTTTGTTCAGGGTATAGAAATTACTTATATATTTATGAGACTTTTTAGCAGTAGTTGAACAGTTAATACATATACTTTTACATCATGAAAGCTTTAACACTGGTATTTGGATGTCCACTTACCATGTTCTAACGCTGACATACCTAACTTACAGAATTTCTGTAACATTTAACACTAAATGAAAATGAGATTATTATGATAATAACTGAAATGCAGAAAAGCACAAAAACTATATGGTATGAACAACTAAGTGTGAGAATCTTAACTACGCTGAAAATTAATTATTCCCTATGTAGCGACAATAAATACAGATCAGCATATCATTTAAACATCATTAGCGCTATGACACTGCGTCTCGGCTGACATACACGAGTTACAATCACCTCATGATCAATTCACTTATTGTAATAGCCCCGTTACATAATTATATCATTATTTAAACATCCTTGTAAACTGAGCATTAGATGTCTTTAATTATTAATTTATTGATGTATATCACATAGCAACAGAAACATATCTCCTAGCAAATTTAAATGATATCTTTGGGTATCAAGTGAATTCATATCAATAAAATATTAGTTGCTATCAACACTTGGATGGGACTGTCAACAATGGACTTGATCGAATTAAGGTGCATTAGTCCCGATCGAAGAAGACTCTTGTGTAGTTGTATTGCATGTCATAATATCAAGTAATTTGAAAATGGATAGCCCTTTGGACGTATCTATCAGCATTTCTTCAGTTTAGACAAAGTTATATTTTTCTTAAATATGATGCCGCTGTCTTTCCTTGGATTTTTATATGTAACTTATGTCGTGTACTTGTAATGCCATGGCTAAATGTAATACATTGAAACAAATGTGACTAAGTAACTCAGTTAACACAACATGGGGGTTTTAGATGACAAAGACATGCATTATCCACAAGTGGATGCACACATAGGTATATATTGTGTCCCTATGGATGGACAATAACATACATTGTGAAAAGGTCTTTGAAGAGCTCCTGTCTGAACTGATTCTCACTGATCCAGGCATGTTTTTCTAGCATACAGATGACACAGTTTATTATTTTCTGACATACAGTTTTTTTATATCACTGATAAAGGTACCATCTACACCAAGTATATGGTGACTTTATTATATCCTTTGGTCCTACTCTTTTATGAACATAGAACTATCAAATTAATAAGTGTGAGTGAGTTGAGTTTTATGCCAGTTTTAGCAAGATTCCAGCAATATCACAGCGGGGGACACTGGCTTCACACATTGTACCCATGTGGAGATTCAAACCCAGGTCTTTGGTGTGACAAGCGGATGCTGTAACCACTAGGCTACCCCACCACCCCAAATTAATAAGATATTCAAGAGACTGTAACTCACTTTTGTTCATAGATCAGAGTAAATACAGACAAGAAAACAGGAAAAGAAATGGAATTTGATTTTATGTTATTTTGTAGTCTTTAAATTATATTCTCTGTGGTGCAAAAATAAATAAAGTATTAATGAAACAAAATTTAAAATATCGTTTGCAGTGACTTGAAATTGGTTGAATTGTCAGCAATATTTTTACCGTTTACATTGGAATCTAATACACAATGAATGCACACACATCTGAAATGTATTAAGCACATAGTACTAGAAAAATACTATGTATTAACTTCAATCCCAAATATGAACACAAGCAACAAACCACTTTTCATTATGATAAGAAATATGTGCTGGAAGTCCGCTGTATAATTCCGACTTTATCATACGGACAGAGTCTGAGAAGCCATGAGCCTCTGTAGTCACCTGTTATTTTTTTTTTAAAAACCGTTGTAACCAATTTTTCACAGTTGTCAACTTCAGACAGTGACATGAATTTGAACATCTGTTAACTTATATAAACCAAAGTTACTGGGCCCCGTTCCACATAACAATCATAGCACTAAGGTGATCATAACTCCCATACTTTAACATAGACTTCCAGCTGTCGTAGCGCTGTCATCACTTTGTGGAACGGGGCCCTAGATCATATACTAAAAAGAACTTTATCAAGCACTTTTTATTTATTTTTATAACAGGCATTAATATATAAACATTCAGCACTTCTGATTTTACACCAAGAAAATCTTGACTTTTCTCTTAATGTACACCATACAGTCAGTCAGTTTCACTACCCAGATCTCTGGCGGATACGAATATCCAGCAGCATCCAGGAACTCCAGAGAAGTCTTCTGGCCAGCTCGATATTTACCCTACAGTCTGATGAGTCTGCTCTCCTTTTCACCCGTTTTTTTCCAATACACCCGTTTCCTGGGGCGTACAGCAGTACTGTGCCATCTTTTCTCACTCGGGCTTCTTGATCCTCTGGATCCTCTCCAGCTCACTTCCTGATGTTACTGATGAACTTCACTGAGCCTTGATCCTGAGGGCTGTGGTTGTGTGCAGTGCTGTTGCGGACATAGTTGCCGGCAGTTGTCACTCTTCCTCTGTAGCCCTTCACTACGCACAGCCATTGAATACAGTGTTCCTTTGTTGAGTTCTTGTTGTGAAGATGACCTTGAAACAAAACTTGTCATGTGCCTCACCTTGATGTCGAGTAAACCGCCCATAATGACGAATAAGTGACAATTCTCCCATCTTAGGTCAATATATGTCACTATTCTCAAACAATCTATGAATTTAAACAAATAGAATACTTCCTTAAATAAGCATAATAGTTTAATTCTAATCGGAAATGGAATTATATTCCTACCCTGCTTTTCAAAGAACATATTCAAAACAATCGGTATGCAGAGTAGTCAAAGTCAAAGATCTCACACAATAAAAGCTGACGAGTCCGTTGTATCGTAGGGAGCCTGATCCTTATTGTTTTAATTAAACCAGTCCGTTCGGTATGACTAGTGGCCATATGAGAAATCGGCGTATGACTAATGGGCTCCAACCATGTTGCATTAGACAACTTTCTAAAAGGCATTGTGTATCATTCTGTATTCACAGCCAGGGGCGCGGTGCCAATTTACACTCATCAGATTGGTATTCATAATGGACTTAGGTTACAATATCAATATGTATGCTGTACTGGCATTGTTTAAAACCAGATCCGAATCCAATTAGCTTCTGCTAGAAACACAATAGCTGGAATTTTAGCTTCAGGGCAGTGTAGTGTCAAAGTATAGTCGACCCGTGTGAAGATCCGGGGTAGAATAGGTATTCAGCAACCCATGCTTGCCACAAAAGGCGACTATGCTTGTCGTAAGATGCGACTAACGGGATCGGGTGGTCAGGCTCGCTGACTTGGTTGACACATGTCATCGTATCCCGATTGCGCAGCACGATGCTCATGCAGTTGATCACTGGATTGTCTGGTCCAGACTTGATTACTTACGGACTGCCACCATAAAGTGTGGAGTTAAACACCAACCAACCAACCATATTTGATACATACCAAACTTCACAAGGGCTGAATAATGGGTCAGAAAGACATGTAAAAAATGTCTGCCATGGTGGTAATGTTTCCTCATCGATCAAAGCGTAAGTTCTGTGAGAAAGTTTACGGCCTTCGTGACAAGGCAAGTGACAGGACCCAAACAACACTTTTTTTTATATTTTAGTTCATCAAAAGCCTGTTTGTTATGAACATAGTGTAGATTGCAAAATCTGACATATCCAATAAACAATTTGCAATTTGAGTGTGAATGAACTTTGTCAACTGTCAATTGGTCTGATTCTCGTATTCTTTGAACCTCTACATCAGGACAATATTATCACAAATTATATTATTGTATATTTTTTTAAGTAGCTGGAAAAGATTTCCAACATTAGAAAATTACATCCATGTCATATCTATGTGTCTTACTTTCAACTATTCTGTTATTTAAATGCATATGACTCATTTAATGTACATTCAAGTAAAGATACAAAGTAATTGAAAACAAAGCCTATTCTTCGTTATTCTCTGCTATTGAATGTCTAACCACTCTGAAATAACATTCTAGCCATGAATATATTCTGACATGAATATGTAATGAAATGCAAAAGGTGATGACTTTCATAACCGGCATTTCTGAATACCATATTTTAGAAGAACACTGAATAATGCATTGTAATACTTGCTTGAAAACTAATTCTCATTGTCGATTAATTACATGCAGGTGAATAGCAAGCACTGCCTTTTGTAATGAATGAACGAACATTTCTAGAGCACCAATTCCAAAACAGGACACCACTGAAACAATTTTATGAATCTGTACTTTACATTATACAGATTGTCCCTGATGACAACGATGAGGATGACAATATTCTTGTTCATGTATCAACTGAAAATTTTAATTCCTGACTTGATTATCTTCAATCAAAATGGTGCAGCTTTAGCATTATTGACAGCAATGTAAAATAAAATGACAAAACCCTTTGAAAATC